CACTGTAAATAATACTGTTATATGAGTAACCATGAAAATATAGGCAGTGCTACAGGGACCCAAAGGAAAACACTAGAACTGCTAAAAAGAATGACAGATGTTAAAGTTAGGGGTATGGTAAAGGTTTTGCAGAAGAGGAAATATTTTCATTGAATCTTAAAGAAAGAACACTGCTTCATCAGGTAGAGAAGAGAAAGACATGCCAGAGAAAGGGAATAACTTGCCCACATGTACAAATTAGACAGAACAGCAAGTAGACAACTCAAATTCCACAGGAAAGAGGGCAAAAGATGGAAGTGGCATAGTGCCTGTGACAGTATTGACAGCATGACTAAAGAATGTGAGCACTGTGGTCAAGATGGAGGCATAGGTAGACATGCTTTGCCTCCTTGTGCAGACACAAAAAGAATTACAACTAAACCTCAAAACAAGTAACACCCAGAACTGTCAGAAAATTGAACTGTATGAAAATCCAGCAACCAAGGATTTAAAGAAGCCACATTCATCCAGACAGGTAGGAGGGGTAGAAATGAGGAGCTGGGATGGAGAGGTGAGGAGACACAGTGTGGCACAGAGAGGCAGTGGTAGCAGTGGCATTGGCATGGGCAGTCCCACATTCACATGTGGTAGATAAAAATCAGGAGGGATGCCTTGGGAGCAAGTGATCCCAGCCCCAGGCCAGACCACACAGCCCAGGGTTCCAGCACTGGGAAGATAAATCACCATAATTCTGGCTATAAAAACCAGTGGGGGTTGGGGCAGCATAAGAAACTGACAGATTTTCAGGAAACTCCCCTTAAAGGGCCCACATGATCTTAAAATGTATGCAAACCCACCCACTATGGTATTCAACACCAGGGAAACAGCTGGAAGGGCGCCAGTCTCATACAGGGAGTGGGTGAAGTAATTGGAAACAGGGGAAATGCTAGGCAAATCCCCAGAAACCAGGCAGTAGTACAGTCCCTCCTCCAAGCCATCCCCCCACACAGAGCCATAAGATAGTGAAGCTGGTTGTCCCACTCTGGAGATTATCTAAGGATCTGCCGCCCCACACAATTTACAAGTGTCTTTTACAGGGAGTCAACACAGCTCTACCTAATACACAGATACATATACAGGGAGGCTGCCAAATTGAGGAGACAAAGAAATATGACCCAAACGAAAGAACAGAACAAAACCCCAGACAAAGAACTAAATGAAATGGAGATAGCCAACCTATCAGATACAGAGTTCAAAACACTGGTGATCAGGATACTCAGAGAACTCATTGAGTATGGCAAAAACATAAAGGAAGAAATGAAAGTTACACTAAGTGAAATAAAGAAAAATCTACAGGGAACCAACAGTGAAGAGAAGGAAACGGGGATCCAAATTAATGATTTGGGACATAAGGAAGAAATAAACACTCAACTAGAACAGAAAGAAGAAACACGAATTCAAAAAAAATGAGGAGAGTCTTAGGAACCTCTGGGACATCTCCAAACATGCCAACATCCAAATCATAGGGATGCCAGAAGGAGAAGAGGAAGAGCCAGAAATTGAAAATTTATTTGAAAAAATAATGAAAGAAAACATCACTAATTTGGTGAACAAAATAAACATACAAGTCCAGGAAGCCCAGAGAGTCCCAAACAAGTTGGACCCAAAGAGTACCACACCAAGGCACATCATAATTAAAATGCCAAAGGTTAAAGATAAAGACAATCTTAAAAGCAGCAAGAAAAAAGGAGAGAGCTACCTATAAAGGAGTACCCATAAGACCATCAGCTGATTTCTCAAAGGAAACTTTGCAGGCAAGAAGGGACTGGCAACAAGTATACAAAGTGATGAAAAGCAAGGACCTACAACCTGTATTACTCTATTCAGCAAAGCTACCATTTAGAATGGAAGGACAGATAAAGTGCTTCCCAGACAAGGTAAAGCTAAAGGAGTTCATCATCACTAAGCCATTATTACATGAAATGCTAAAGGGACTTATTTAAGAAAAAGATCAAAACTCTGAACATTAAAAAGGCAACAAATTCACAACTATCAACAACTGAATCTAAAAACAAAGAAACAAACTAAGCAAACAACCAGAACAGGACATTTAGAGAGTTATCAGCTGAGACGGGGAAGGGAGAGAATGGGGGCAGAGATACCCAGATTAAAAAGCATAATTGGTAGGTACAAAATAGACAGGGGGCTATTAAGAACAGTACAGGCAATGGAGAGGCAAAAGGACTTATATGCATAACCCATGGGCATGAACCAAGGGGGAGCACTGCTGTAGGGAAGGAGGGTAACAGGAGGAAGGCAGCAAGGGGGAAAAATTGGGACAACAGTAATAACATAATAAATGAAATATACTTTTAAAAGAAATACAAAAAAAAGACTGCGGGCACTGGACTTCAAAGGCAAGCATCTGAAGGGGTCTGAGCTGAGAAAGACACTCATCTCTGGATTGCGGAGGTAATTCTCCCATCCATGTGGAAAATGAATTGGAGATGGAAGAGGCAGAACACACAGAAGCCACTTAAGATACTCTTCCACAAACAAAACACAGTATGAAAATGTCTTCTTTGTCACACTTTCCTCCAAGCACCATCCAAACTAGGGGAGACTTGTGAGAAGGTATGCATTTCTCATGCACAGAAGGAAGAAGAGCTTTTTCTGCCTTTTCTCGGGTTATCTCCTTTGCTGTAATAGGGAGTGTCAGCTAGCCCTGTGGCTGTGTGGCCATGTTGCTGTCAGGCAGTGGAGGTGAGAAGTCCACTCCTAGCCCCACCCTCCATGGGCTTAAAAATCTCTCTACAAAGCTGGTGGGAATCACAGAAAACCTGCCACAATGGGATTCTCCAACTTTCTGTCCCTGGCCACCTTTTCAGGTACTTCTGTCACTGGTATTCACTGAGGGCCCAAGCCCTCACTCTGTCCCCAGCCTGTGCTACAGATAGAACCACACAGGCAGAATTCTGGTCAGCTGGGTGAGAGGAGAGATGGGTAAGGTGGCCACTGAAAGAATCCAGAAGAAGAGATGAGGCTGAGCCCTGACTACTAATATGAGGCCCCTGTGCTGAACACAAAGTTCCATTTGATCCCTGTCAACCAGAAAACCACAGGGGCTGTCACATGGTCATACGGTCATGCAGTCACATGGTCACAGGGCCTTCTCATCTGAAAAATAGGTTATCTTTCTAAGGGGTAAGTACCTGGAGAAGTAACCAAGGTGGTTCCCAGAGCAGGAGGATAAATAGTCCAGCCTCCTTTTGTGTTGACCCAGTCATTGCATTCTTGAAAAATGTTTACCTTAATATATTTATAAGCTAACACCTATGAACTATATGCAATTTCAAAATAATTTAATATGCATTGTTGAAATCCATCAAAAACATTTTTGGTAGTGATATATGATTTCAAAAGTTTGTACATTATTATGATAAACCATAGTCTCTGCCACCCAGTGGAGGTCAGATTATGTCCTACACACAAAAAGCATTTTATTGAGTTCAACTTTGCCTGACTTAAATCCACATTATATGCTTAAAGGTGAAAGAAATTGAGGTGGAGCATGAAAGGAGAATATCACTTTATATTTAAAAATTGAAAAGCTTCCTTATATCTTGTATATTTGTACTTAAAATGTTAACAAAAATAATTTAGGACATAAATAGCTTTATCAAAACCAAGAACTGTATTTAAAAGCTAAACTCAATCCTGGACTTAAAAACATATTTTAAAATAATCTATTCTCTCAAGGAAGTACTTTTTAAAATAACTTAATTTTCTAACAAAATCAACCAATCCTGAGTCAAATATCACCAAGGCAGGAAAACCATCCTTGTGTCATTAAAAATGGTGTGTGCTGTATTCAAATGAAATAGATCATAATTTACTGTCATCTGGAGTCTTTGAGTGAAAGTTTGATACTATTTCCAACCCCTGTACACACACACACACACACACACACACACACACACACACACACACACACACACACACACACACACAATGTGGATAGGAAAGGAGCTGCCTATAGAAAATTTCTCCGGATTGTATATGCATATGCCCTTCATTCCTGTTGACAGAGAACTCCAAAATTTCATCCTGAGCCTCTTTTATTCTTCAACTTTTTGGAGATTCTAATCCAAGTTCTCATATAGCGGAGAATATGGACTAAATTCCCATGTTATCCTAATGGAAATGAAAAATTAAAGGTTGATGTCATTACAAGCTTTCCCTTGAAAATCATGTTAGTGACTAATAATCTATTATTCATACTCATATACTTGGCAAAAATGTTTTAAATGCCCACTGCATGCTATGCAATGTGTTTTAGAAACTGTGCCAGCATCAGTAAAAAGACACAAAGATGTAAAGTCAGTATTTCTTCTTAAAGCAGAAGCAGGGACTCTGTCTCATCCACTGATGTTCCTGAGAACCTAGAACAGTGCCTGGCACCTGGTAGGTACCAAAATACTTCACTGCTTCCTGCAAGCAGCTCATGACCGTTAGAAATGAGGAGGGAAGAAAAAAAGGAACTTGATACTTGCAAACAATTATATTTATATTCCTATTCCAATATAAGAAAATCTGACAATAACTTCCATTTCCCTTCTGTCTCTGTAATGAAAATCTCATGTAGCTCAGAGAAAGCCCTGCACGGTCTATTTTTAGTTTTAAACAATGATCAGCAAAGTTTGGGAGAAGATAATTTTAACTCATTTCAAAAATAACTCCCATTCAATACAAGAAGATGAGATTTTTCACACAGAATTTTTTTATGTATTTGATAATAAAAATAGTTTGACATATGAATAAAGCATTTTCTTAGAAACCTTGCTCTAGTGAAGATCCAGGGCTGATATTTATTAATAAAAATGAAATGATTTGCCTTAAAAGTAAAAGCTCATACTCTTCTTCCCAACAGACTGGGTTTTATGTAGGCTATAACTACCTAGAGAAAGTACATTTAAGCCAACATGAAACATAAAGGTTGTGAAGTCTCTCACAGTACTTACTGATCCGTACAGCTCCCCCTTCTCATTCATGCCAAGGTAGAGTCCACTGTCCACACCTCGAATGCTGACAAGGCCCACGGCTATACTGATAAATTCCAGAATGCCTATAAGACAAAGGTCAGAAGACAAAGTACAAGTCAGAGCACAGAGCATTTTGGGGTCTCGGTGTCACTAGTAGTTTCGAAGAGGACTGAGCCTAGCTCCCAGCTGGGATTATCTCACACTCCTTGAGGAAGTGTCTTTCCTTAAAATCACTGCCTAGCCCTGGCCAAGTGGCTTGGTTGGTTGGAGTGTCATCCTATATACCAAAAGCTTGTGGGGTTCAGTCCCTGGTCAGGGCGCAATCTCTCTCAATCTTTCTCTCTCTCCCCCCCCTCCTTTCTCTCTCTTGCAATATCCTTGAGGATTAAAAAAACACTGCCTAAAATAATTTTTATAATAATGATACAAAAATACTTATCAACATAATGCATAACATTTTAAAAATAAAAGCTAGTATTCACATACACGTGCTGAGAAGTGATATGACATAAACCAGTGTACATATTCTAATTAATCTAAAAGAATATAATTGAAGAGAAAAACTACAGTTTTACTTACAGTTGACAAATGTGAAATTAAGCATTTGTGTATGGGCATAGATCAGAAAAACATTCTATTCAGAGAAGAGTCTTATGTCCCTCACATTGAATATGAGGTGCTAACTTGATTGGCTTATGCAGAAAGTTATCCAGCTCTCTACTGTATATTGAGCTCCATCTGCAACACTAAAATAGCATATACACATCCCAAATATTTCTGCCTAAACAAAGTATTTATTTTTGCTGTAGTTATCTAAACCTCATAGTGATCATTAAGTAATTAAAAAATACAATATTCTGTAAAAAATGCTGGTTCCACAAATACTCCTGATTTGAGATAGTCATGGAATACTATATCCCAACAACAAATTAACATAATGATCTTTGTATATTTCCTTCTTTCTACTTACTTACCTCACTAAGAATAAAAATACCTAAGCTGGCATAAATCCAGAATTTTATGGCCATACAACAGCAGCTCCAATTTCTCTAACTATATTGTTGTTTTAACATGATTACCCAACCGGATACTTGGGACAATGCTAACATTACTAATGCTTAGCCATTTTCTCAATTGTGTCATAAAGTGCTAGACTTTGCAAAGACCTTGCATTAATGTACACTAAATATTGAGATTTTTTAAATCTTCAAATATTGAAAAATGTATTTACATTTTAGAACTTAGAAAAAAACTAAAAGTAACATTGACCTATAGTTAGTCTCATGTAACTAATAAAAAAGCACTTCCATGGATTTTTTAAACAGTTAATTTTTCAACTCTTACAAAACAGACAGTGCTACAATGAAAAGAAGACATGACAAATACATAGTGACAGAAGAAGACTAGACTTTGGGTGGGAGCACACAGTACAGTATACAGATGGTGTGTTATAGAATTGTGCACCTGAAACCCATATAAAGTTATTAACCATTGTTGCCCCAAGAAATTTAATTTAAAAACAAAATACATGAACTACATAAATATAATAAAGGGTTCCAAGGCAATGTGAAAGACGAGAGACATTTCTTATAAAGGGGCATTCCTAATGATTTTATATGCACAAAATGTAACAAATATCTTGTGTTTGCAATACACAGAATATCTATCTGAACCTGAAAAACTATTTTTTTTAAATTACAATTTTATTTCAAAGTTGCATCACTAACATTAGGGAAAACTACATGAATTTCTAATTATAAATATTCAAGTTACAGCAAAAAACACCTAGAACTTTCGAAACACAGCAACACAATCTAACTTGTGTCCTGATAACAATACACAGTATAGTGGGCCATAAATTAATTCTAGTTAAATGGGAAATGAATAGGTTAGACTTAGGAACTGCATGTATTACTGCTATAAGCATACTATACAAATTAGATTGTTCATTTAATAGGATTTTTACCATGATGTGACATGGTACTCAGTAAGTAAATTTTAAACTAAGATAAGCAGATTTATTATGTAAATTCACCTAGTATTAATCTGAGCATGGTACATGGATAATAAAAGATAAAGCTTGCTGTAAGTATTCTTTTTATGCAGAGTTCAAATTATTTTAAAGCTCACTCTAGTACTACAACATCCAACAGATCTGAAAGAAACTCAAATCTATACACAGCACATATAAAAAACAGAGCTAATGCCTTAATATGTGGAGTTTTACACACCAACCAGAAAAATATTAATAACCTAATAGAAATGAGGAAAGGATATGAAGAAAAAGGTCACAAGAAGTGAAATTTTAAAATGCCTTTCAGCATATAAAAAGATATGACATTATTTATAATATGAGAAATGCAAAATAAAACTCAGTGAGGTTGCTTATCTATGAGACTGACAAATACTAAAACCACTGAGATATCATCAATGGGTAGGAGAAGTAGACTCTCCTATACTGTTGTCTTGGGAAGGCAATTTGATAATATCTATAACAATTTTGTTCTTTTTCAGTTAGTAATTCTCCCTCTAGTAATGCTACCTAAGATAATCACACAAAGCCCCAATAGGTGCATACAGGAATATTCATTCCAGCATTGTTTTTAACAACCAAAGATTGGATATAAACCAAACATTTATCCATAGGGGACTGGATAAGTAAATTATGGTACATCGATACACTAAAAGGAAGACATGTAAGGAACTAAATGCTTCTCATAAAAATCATTAACAGAGAAAAGGCATCACAGGGTGTAAACAACACATTACAATTAATGGAGAATGAGAAGGAAGAAAAGGAGGTGAAAAACTATTTTTATAGAATGTGAAACACTATGTGAAAAAGTAGAAAGGCAAATTACAAATTACATTTTGGATCTGATACTCCGTGACTTTATAACGGAGGATACACCAAAAGTAAGCAAGTTTATTTATAGTCTTTCCTACCTCACAAAGCAAACAGAAAGATAAACAATGCAGTATTTCCATGAAACTCATTTTGCCCCTATTGATGCAATCAGTCTGTTTTATTGTATTATTTCTAACTTTTAGGGTTGAAAATAATTACAATTTTGGTACTTAATTACTATTAGGAGTCACATATGTGTGAATCTCATCTTAGCTACCTGAAAACACAGCACAATATAGGTCACATTTATCTAGAATTTAGTGTCAGGAATTCAATAATGTCCAATTGTCATCATATAATGAGAGACAGGAAACAATGTGCCCGTTTGGAGGTCTGACCAATTATGTAAAACATGTCAACAGGAAAAGGTTTAATCATAAGACTGAAAATTACTTGCATCTTCTATGAGGATATATGGTGACCTTTCTTCTTTGCCTAGACAGGAGGCAGCTCTGGAAACTAATAATAAATATTTGCCAACGGTGACCATCAGGCCCAAGAAGAAATAGGGTATATGTAACCTCACAAATCCATATGACTGGCTGGTATGCAGAACATCAAGATAAATAACAAAGGGATGACAATTTAATACCTAGAGCACTTGAGAATTTAATCTGTGCCAATGAGATGTCTTCTTTCATTCAATCCTCAGAATAATCCTAACCTGAGTCATTACAATATTTTAATCTTCAGTTTACAAATGGGGACACTGAGGTTTAATGGTATTAAATAACTTGCCCCAAAGTAACCAGACTCCAAAGTCTATCTCTCATTTATTATACCCATCTTATCATCGGTCCACCTTTTTTTTCCCCACAAATCCATGACTTTTGTACCATTTGTATATAGTTATCCCTGACTAGTGACTAGAAGATGTTGCCAAGGTCAGAGTCCACAGATCCCACAGGCAGTACTAGAAGCCGCAGAGGAAATGAGGACAGGCAAGTCACTAGGACTGCATTCCCTCCTCACACAGACCTTGGGAAGGTAGACATATCTTGTGTGTGTGGACTATTTACCAAAATCATTTATGTGCACATAGCACATATCTTCTTCTGTTATAGAATTTAAGTTCTGAAATTACTATTATATACTTTAGAAATGAAAGTATGAGGATATCTATCTTGTTTCTTTTCTCACATCAAGACAGCTGTAATTCATTGCATTGACTTATTCAATCTACAAATTGTGAGTGACTATTGTAAGCCAAGCATCAGGCCATTTGTTGAGTATATAGGGATGAATAAGATATAATCTAGGCCCTATAACCTCAAAGCCCTCCCCATCTATCAGGAGAAAGGACAAATAAACAGATGAATATAATAGCAATATGGTGAATGCAGTGAGAGGGAACAGATTAGGGCACAGTCAGTGTCCAAAGATGGGCTTGGGAAGTAGAGTCAGAGGGGTTTCCTAAAAGAAATAGTTCCTGGGACAAGCCTCCGAGGGGCTCACATTTGAAAAGGAACTATGTATCTAGTGACCTCAGGTGGAAAAGATTTCATCACCTCAGACACCATCCATATTTATGCAGCTCGTTGAAAAATGAAGACCTCAGAAAAATAGCCCAGCCCTGGCCAGGTGGCTCGGCTCAGTTGATGGAAGCGTCATCTGGTACACCAAAAGGTTGTGGGTTTGATCCCGACAGAGCACATACAGAAAGCAACCAGTTGATGTCTCTCTCTCTCTCTCTCTCTCTCTCTCTCTCTCTCTCTCTCTCTCTCTCTCTCTTATCTTCGGGTGAGGATTATTTTAGAAAAGGATAGCTCAGCTTTTCATGAGGCCATCTCAGTGAGCTGAGACCAAGCAGAATACCCAAAAGTTTGAGTCATGGCCACGCTCCCAGGTCAGAAAGACCTAGTAACCTGGCAAGTCACCACACACACACACACACACACACACACACACACAGAGAGAGAGAGAGAGAGAGAGAGAGAGAGAGAGAGAGAGAGAACCAGGCCAGGCTGGAATACTTACCATTCATCGTACCATCTTGTTCCCAGTGACCTCTATAACCTCAACCAGGTCAACTCACCTGTCTCTTGACCTGAGCCAGAGCTAAGCATATGCGTCCAACTCTATTCATTTGAGTATGGCCTACTTCCTCTCTTATCTGTTTATATGAGCATGCAACACAGAGGAAGCTCAAGAGAAGGTTTCAGTGCAGAAACATTTAAATGCTTAATGATCAATGGGAGAGGAGGAAAAGAAGGAAAGAGCAAGGAAGAAAAGAAGGAAGGGAGGGAATGGTGGAATTGTGCCTATAATTAAAACTGTTACCCTCACATGTGTATCACGGTGGCCTCTCTCTCCTCTTAGGCAGACACAGCCTAGACATCCTCAAGTAATGGGTACAGATAGAGGTACATGGGAAACACAGGGTCCATGCCTAGTGTTATTTGGCAATTCCCTTTCACAGTAGCCAACAATTCCCAGTGAGGATGAACTCACTGTGCTCCAGAGGGTCTTATGCTGTCCAAGGTCATCCCTGGTACACAAGAGGCCAGATCAATTCCTGTGACCACTTCAGGAAAAGACCACCCCAGACCTTCATCTTTACTCATAACAAGGTCAGCCCTGGGAAGGGGAAGGGTGGGCAAAGGCTGCTCCACTCTGGCCCACGTTAAACAGCCTTCTAGCCTAAAAGCTCCCAACACTTAACAGAGCTGCATTCTTTAGAGGACAAGAATGTATGCAGATTGCTGAGAGATGCATAACATTAGGCTTTCGAAAATAGATTACCTTCCCTCTGCCCCCTGCCCTCCCCCCCAATACACACACACACACACACACACACACACACACACACACACACTACAGAGTTTCCTGCTCAGCCAGCAACCCCACACCACTGCTTCCCAGTCAGTCATCTCAGGGCCTGATCCTAGAAAGTCCAGTGGGCAGCAACTTGAGCAAATCTCAAAGTTACTTAAGAAATGACTACCTGAATAGTAGTTATAACCCCACCATTTTTCAAGAATCTGAACCAATCCTGAAACAGCTCCTTCAATAGGCAGTCTTTACCTTAGTGCGGTGCTGAAAAGACAGATACACAGAACAAACTTTTTAAAGTGCAAAACCCTAGAAATAAGATTGCTTTAACCTCTTCTTTTTTTTAAATCATGCTACTGTGTTTCTCCCCTCTTGTACAACTTCCACCTGACATCTGGCCCCTTTGAAGTGCAGCCCCAGTTCAGATGCTCATCTGGGGTCCTTGCAGGGCCACCATGCCAGCCACAAGGCACAGCCAGAAAAGCAGGCCATCTGTCCACCAAGGCCAGGGTCAACAGCTCAGGCTTCCTTCCCTGTGAAAGTAAAATAGAGGATCAGGCCCAACACACTTTTTTATTCTTCTATACGACCATCGTCTCAATTTATGTTGTGCTTTTGTCCGCCTAGCAAGTGTTTTAAAGAGAAAACAGATAGGAAATGAAACGTCTGCCTCCCCCAGCCCGTACCCCAGGACACAATTCCCAATTCCTTATCTCCACGCCAACGTCCCCCAAAGGAAAACACAGGGCTACTCAAGGTCCCCCCTGAATAGATTCTGCTAGGGCGAAGGTAAGTTCCCCTCCCCCACCAAGTCTCCTCCACTGCTGCTGCTGGAGGGGAGGCAGTCGTTTTCCTGGACATTTGCTCCTGCCGGTTCGTTCATTCCAGGTAGAAGATGCACCTCCTACATGGAAGTGTAAACCAGCCCACCCCTGCCCCACAGCTACTCTTTTCTAGGGACTAGGAGGAGAAACTGAGCGTAAGAACATTGTCTCCAGAAGGGAGTCGGTGGAAGGAGCACAGAAGTGAGGGTGCCAGGTGCCAGGTGAGACGCACTGCCGCAATCTCCGCTCTTTGCCAGTGCTGGGTCTTAATGACACCGGACTCCTCCAGGTGGGGCTGCGCAGCAAGTGCAGGAGGCAACACGCTGCAGAGGTTGCTAATATTGGGACCTTGCCACAGCGGGTAGCAGCGGGTGACCGCCGCACTGCTGTCACCCCGGGGGCTGGTCTCACTGCAACCGGATGAAAGATTTAAATAACCCTTCTTCCCTACCCCCACTGCGCACAGCCACCCACTCAGCTTCATCCAAGCCACGGAGAGCCGCACCGCTGAGCACCAGGAGCGCCCTTAGCCCGCCCGCCAGTGCTTGCCAACCCTCCAGCCTCCCTAAGCCCCACCAGCCGTGGTCTCTGTTCCCTGCCCTCCCTGCCAACCCGGCTAACAGTGCCCAGCAAGCCGAAACAGTAGAGATGTCACTTCCTTGGCTGCAACACCTTTCTCCAAACTCCCAGATTGGGGGGGGGGGGGGGGGGGGGGGCGGAGGTGCAAGGGGGAGGGTGACAAGGTCTAGTTTTTGTTGTTGTTTTAAGGTCTTTATTCAGCCACTGTACCAGCCGTCCTTGTCTGCTGACCCCAGAATGCACTTCTCGGGTCCTCCCCAGCCTCGTGGTCCCCACTTTCCCTTGCATCCTCCTCTCCCAGTGGCAGTTACTGGATTTCTAATGGTTCGACTATGTGCAGCAAATGTCCTACCCTAAAAGTGACTGCAGTGAAATAATAATAAAAAGCTTAGAGTGTGGGGGGTCCCAACAGCACATCCCATAATCTCCATGCGGAGTTCAGTCGTTCTGCACCTCGGTTCCGGGGGTATTTCAAAGACCAGGTTCAGCCAGTTCACACAATGTAACCGGCCAGCCCTGCCTTGCCCTGCCCTGCCCTGCCCTGCCCTGCTGGGTGCACCCCTTGGTGCCCTGGGCTCCCCGGAGCTGGAAAGCGGGCCCTGGGCAGGGGGCCACCACCGTTAGGTTGGACTCCTGGAAGGGGTTAACAATAGCTCGCCACCGTTTGGCCCACATCCGCAAGCCTTTGTCCCCTGGTCCACTCTTTCCCTCGGCAGAGCCCCGGGTGCCACAGATCCCAGCGACTCTCTGAACCCCGACTGTGCGCTTCAGAAAGAGAAAGAAGGATCTGGGCTGGGACATGGGAAGTCAGGCTCTGATCTCCAGCCGATTATCCTCAGTCACCACTACCGAGTCTCCTGCTGAGGTGTGCGTGCCTCCAGTGGTTCCCACACTGAAAACTACTGCACAGCCGAGGGGCAGCTGTCAGTCCCGTGGACCCACACACACAAAGAATGGAAGGGGTTCAACTTGGGCAAAAACCTGGTTCCCAAAATTTGGCCATACAAGCCATCGCCTGTGGCCCATTGACAAGAGTCCTGAGTCCCCTCAGCAGCACCACACGGCGCACCAGCCGGGGAGAGGGTGCCGAACATGGAGCTCTTTAAGACCGCGCGGAACTGGCCGGGCGACCGCTGAAAGCGCCAAAAGACTGGGTTGTGGAGCCGGCACCTGCTCCCGGAGAGCTAGAGGACCTGCTCCCCCGCGGGGCGCCGGAAGGTATCCGCCCCCCTCCTCCGCAGCTTGTCCCCACAGGCGTTGCCCAACTTAGGGCAGGCGGTGCGACCCTGACACTCCAGCTGTCCCACCCACAGCGCCCATAGACCTTGTCCCTGGAGCAAACGCTGGACACGGTGGCAGCCCCTGGAGCGGCCCCAGGACAGCACTTGCAAAGTTTAGTCTTTGCTGTGCAAACTACCAGAGCTGTCCAATTGTCTGTGTGTTGGGCGGCAGGGGGAACTCAACCGAATGATTGCAAAGCCAAAAGTTACTTTAAAAAAAAAAAAAAAAAAAAAAGACAACCAGGAATATTTGCACTAGCTGGTTCAGCACTGGGCTGAGCCTCGGAGCAGGGGAGGGCAGGGAGCAAAGGGAGAAAATGCGGGGCCATCCCAACCCAGGCCTGAATCCTGCCTGCCTTCTGGCAGCCCCCGAACCTAAAACAGATAGTTTAGATTGTGGTCAACATCTGGCATGAAAGCTAGAGGGAGAAAATCACCGCAGGACTTTGTTTTTTACGACCCACTTTAAGTGTTGTCAGGTGGGTCCACTCAAAAGTTAACTCCTTCCAACAGTCTGGTTGCCCAAACTAGTGCTTTTTCTTTCTTTTTTATTTTTATTTTTTGTGTAAGGAAGGGTGAAAACCCAGAGTTTCCAACCTGGACTGTGCTGAATGTTGGGCTCAGAGTGGCCCAGCGGGCACGGGTGTGCAGGCATGAACGGGGACAGTCACGAGCCCCCTGGTCTGCAGCCTCCTCCATGCTGAGTCACAAGTACCCTCCTGGGGGAGTGAAATCCTCGGAACTGAATGCTTTTTTAGAATTACCACTCAGCTTTTCACGAGCACACACACCACAGAGCTACCCTGGAACCCCACGCAGGCTGCACACTATGAAAAATTGCAGAGCGTGGGTGGTAACTTGATGGCTGGAAGGACAAGCACCCCCAATGAGCTTCCTGCCCCTTCCCAAGTCTCATATGTGATTTCAGTCCTTCTCCCCACTGAAAACTCTATCAGCAAGCCTCGCCCAAGTGGTGCAGACCCTCACGTTGGGAATCAATATGAATCATTTACAATTCAAGCAGGATACTTGTTTGAGGAAAGGGGGAAAGAACAAAAACTTCATTGGGGCACCAGATTATAAAAACCCATGCTCTCAGGAAAATGCATTTTTAAGTTCTCAGTAGTTAATGATTAAAGCTTTAAACTCCTGGAATTGGTCAAAAAAAAAAAAAAAAAAAACCTTCCTAAACCCGATCTTTCCAAGCACCTGATGCAAAAGAACGAGGGACTTGCGTGATATTTATAAACCATCCCTTCTTTTAGAAAAGAAAAGAAAGAAAGAAAGAAAGAAAGAAAGAAAGAAAGAAAGAAAGAAAGAAAGAAAGAAAGAAAGAAAGAAAGAAAGAAAGAAAGAAAGAAAAGAAAAGAAAGAAAGAAAACCTTTCAATTTAGACTTGCATCAGTGCCAGCCAGCGGCGGAGACCTGCAGTTCCGGATGCTTTTCTTTTTTTTTTTTTTAATCTGGCAAGACAAGGGCAGAAAGAGGGAGAGAGCCTTCCCGCACCCCGCCCGGCCAACCATTTCTTGGTAGTTATAATCCCGACGTGTCAAGGCACGGACACGATAGTGTTAATGGTACACCTACCGAATCGGCTGTGGTCTTTCCTGGTTCCCTGGATAGTACCATTGGGGAAGATTTCCAAGTGAAATCCAGTCCTGCAGTAGAGCTGCCTCCGCCTGAGAATCCCCTTTAAATGATCCAAGTCCGTGACTGCCGGTCCCCGCGGAAGCCCCCCTGCTTCGGACTGACCCAGGTGGTCACTTAGCAAGACCGGGCTCTCCACCGGCAACACGGGCACATTCCCAAACGGTACGCCATCCTGCACACCGAAATAGTTCCCAACTTCACCTAAGGGAGCCATCAGAAGGCTGGGCTGTTGGAGCACAGAGATAAACAATAATGATGGTGCCAACCCGGGAGATCTTAGGCGAGGTATATCCAACTCCCTCCCTTACTGAGGTTGCAGAGAGAGAAAGAGGGGGGAACGTTCTTTTCTTCAATCCATGAAATGCATAAATAAAAGTAATCTGCCGTTTCACTGGCACAGGTTCAAGGTCAAACCACTAATAGCCTAAGAAACCAGCACTGTATACTCACACACTGACATACTGATAAACATATCTATGTATCTCTACGGGTAGATCCCGGCTCCTAGCAAGCAGGAAGGTCTGCATCCCAGCCGGCCGTCAAACCGGAAAAATCCGTAGTTTCTCCATTTGGTTCCAGATCGGAATGACCATAGCAACTTTCAATGCCTAGGCGTTATTACAGGATTTTTAAGATACACGGGCTACGTCAGAATCCATGGGTCCTGACTCCGGGGAAGGCATGCGCCGTTTTTACTCTAACCGACTCTGCAGACATCAGCAGGAATCCTTCCAGAGCGGGGGCGGGGGGGGGAGGAATCTCACGTTGAAGGCGGAGACGACTCTCCCCTCCTGCTTTCCCCTCCCCAAAAAAAATCAATAATAATATAATAAAAAAAGAAGAAAACTTTAGGCGTCCAAAGCTGGGATCCGGAATCGTGCGGCAGCTCGGTGGAGGTCCATTGGTTCACTGCGGGCGGCCAGCAGCAAGCAATGGAGCGGCGTCCGGAGATCGCGTGCGCCCTGCAGCCGCGAACAGGTGTTGCCGCGCGGGCTCTAGCCTGGTTACTGGCGGAGCGCTAGTCCTGCGCAACCCCGCCGGCGCGCTGAGTGGCGCAGCATCAGCCGGAGCTGGGTTTAAGGTAGCGCCGTGCCGGCCGCGCGCCCCGCGGTCCTAGCGCCTGCCGTTCCGCTACACGCTGCGGCAGGCCCAGAGCAACCCGCTGGGAGCAACGACCCTGGACCGCCCGGGAATCCCGTATTTTAAAAAACGCCCGGAAAGAGGCAAGGAACGCAAGCCCTGAGACTCCAAGTTCTCCTACGGAAATGGAGCCGGGACCTCGAAACGTGGCTGGGCGCAGTGATGAATATTCAGAGTGGAGTGGGAAAGTAGTTTCGCATGCATGGACTCTAATGTTGCATGAAAAATAGAACTCAGTAGAGAGTTGGAGGGAAGGGGGCTGATTTAATGACACTGAACGGATATGGCAGTTTCTCCTTCATTCCTCTGCCAGGCAAACCGAATTGCAGGTGAGACCGGCAGACGCGACTGCAACCCTTGTCACACACGCTCATATAGAGACGTACACGCACACATGCAGGTGTGGCCTCCGGATCGGTTTTGGCCGCCCTTTCCACCGGGCATCTCCTGTGTGCGCTGTTCTAATGTTGCCCGCGCTGTTCCGGAGGCGGCGGCGCAGGCGGCGGGGGGCGCCCGAGACCCGGCTCTATCCCAGAGTTGGACCTGCGCGTGTCTGCGGAGACTCAGGACGGAGAACGCTCCAGTGGGTCCCTCTGTCACTAGACCAGGCTATTCGCAAGGAGCTCGGACAAGGAGAGGCGAGTCCAGTGTCCCCTCCAAGGCCAGAGCCCGCGAGAGCCGGGCGTGTGGGGTCTTCCTACTCCAACCGGGGGACAACGTGGAAGCCTGAGCTCCAGAGCTGGGTTCGGGTTTCTGCTCGCGGCCGGCGGCTTCTGTGCCCTACCGGGGCCGGGACAAAGCAACCCGCCGCTCGGAGCCGCGCGAGAGGCCCTGCGGAGCCCGGCTCGGCACGCTCCGCGATCGGCTCCCCGCTGTGGGTTCCAGCGCGCGCGCGCGCGCGCGCGCGCACACACACACACAACACACACGCACGCACACACAGACTTGCTCCAAAGCCGCCCCGCGGGTTCCTCTCCCTGCTGCTCTTTGTTCACATTGTCCTAGAAAGGGCCCGACTCGGGTCAGACGGGGAAACTTGGAAGAGACGCGCTCAGCCCCAGACTGCGGGGCTGGCGATTAGAATCGGAAGTCTGAGCTGTGACTGGACCCCTGCAGTGGGAACGGGAATCGGAACCTTTTTAAGGGAGAAGTCGACCGCCTTAGCAGCAGCCTCGAGATGAAAGGGAAAGGTTGGGCTGCTCCCATCGGGACGTAAGGTTGTGGAGATGAAAAGCAGCATGAATCTGCAGATTCTCGGGCGACCTAGGGCGATCTCACCCTGCCTCCGCGTGGACGACGTGCTTGGGTGGGTGAGGAGCTAGGGCAAGGACGAAGTGACCCTCCCTTTCTCCCATTCCTACACCCATTTGCCGCAGTCCTGGGTCATGGGGTGTCCGGCGCTCCTCTGTGCGTCCTGCTCACGTGTTCATGAAGTACCAACGTCGTACCCAGATATATTTCCAGCAGTCACATCCACTGTGGGCTTTCACGTTAACCGCTCCGTGGCAGATTCAAGAAGCTGGGGTGCAAGTGTCACTTCTCATCAACTACCTGAGTAGCCCGCATTTATCTTGGGGGGCAGCCAACAGCAATGGGTTAAACAAGGGTATGCCTAGGTCAGTTGGATACAATGCTCCTGGGTGTGTTTGGTTTTTTTGTTTTGTTTTTCCCCAATGAAACCTGATGAAAAGAGAGAGGCAAGCAGAGATGAGGAGGGATAGATGCTTAATCAGGAGACAGCCGAGCAGCACGTGGACATTTCCACTGAAGGCAGAACTGGGGCAATTTCCACCAGCTGTCTCCCACCACATTCTTTCTGTCTGAATTTAGATTGAAGAGCAAAGACCATTTCAGCTTATGAATCCTGAAACCTCGTGACTGTCACTTTAAAAAGCAATGCAGCAACGGGAAGTAGCTGATAGAGCATTTTCTCACTTAGAGGCAGCCTCCCATGCGCATCCCTTTCCCACTGCAGTTAACTCAGTCCACACTCCATCCACATCCCTAACTCCAGCTCCAGAAGACTTCCCTGTCTCCTTGCTCCATTAACTTACTCATCGGGTTTCTTTCCCTGCTTTCCTATGAACAGCCATAGAGGTCTTTCTTTTCACTGCTCACATCACATTTCTTGGGAGCTCATCCCACTAGCTACCAATGATTCCTTTACAATTCCCTCCGGTTTCTGCCATGGTCGGGACCTCCTATGTCCAGGCCTTTAGGTGTGTTTTACAAGTATTTTTCAATTAGTATGCAGACGTTAAACTCCAAGAAGACTGAGGCCAGGCTTTCTAGAGATATGTGGTGTAACTAGCATAATAACACCAGCCTTGTAAGATTGTTACTAGGAATAAAAGAAAAAAATGCACATAAAACAGGCAGGACACAATAGACACTTAAGACATAGTTGCTATTATTATACTATTCCTAACATAATTCCCCAGAGATTTCTGCACATGGTGTATTCAGCAAATACTATTCTTTACTGCAACCCCCAAGCTCTCGCTCTCTCTTAGGCTATCTTTTCTCAAAACATTTTAATCCTTTTCCCTTCTTCCAGTTTGTCCTCTGTCTTTCCTGCTGACAATTTAGTATTGGGTTGGCCGAAAAGCTCATTTAGTTTTTTCCATAAAATAAAAGACAGATTTTTCATTTTCACCAATAACTATTGATTTGTATATTTTGAGTCATTGTTCTCAATTAATGCCTCAATTTGATCTCTATCAACTTCAACTGGTCTACCTTTCTCCATATACCACACAAATCTCTTCTTGCATTTCAGTTGTGTTTTTCCCTTCTTGAAATAATAAAGCATAATATGCCAAAAATGTTTCATATTTTCTTCCATCTTCAATATTAAAATGACTACACAAAAAATCACTAATTTTGATAAGTTTTTTAAAATGCACACTGATATGACAGCCATCATAATGCAATCTAAAAAAATTGTTTTTGAATGAATTTAAAGACAACTAAGCACTACTAGAGCCATCTTACAGGAAAAAAAACAAACGAACTTTTTGGCCAACCCAATACTTAGACCCACTTGGGAATACATGACAAGGTAAGTAGAGAGAGACATAAACAGCAATGATCAGCAGCATGGCTCAGCAGATTGGACCTGGCTTCCCCAGCACCCCGCTACTCCCCATGATTCTGAATCCCTCTTTCATAGACCAAGTGAGCTGCTGCCAAGATAGGTTTATGATACAAGTATGTATAAATGGCCTGTAAGCTCTCAAGTCCCATCCAATTTAAGGCAACAATTTGAAAAAAGTGCTCTGTTCACTTTCACTGCTTTGTTTATTAATATGCACCTCTTCCAATATCCTTGGACACCTCAAATACGAATCATTATGGAATCCTTTTATTCCTTTCCTAGAACAACAGGGTACAACTGGGCTTCTAGTCTCTATTTCCCCATTCCCCTCACCCACTCTGCAGCCCTTATTCCAGGGCTGTTGTTTGGGAAATGGGGAGTGTGGCTGGAGGGGAATGATTTGGAAATGTTGACATCTGTTCCCCATCTGATGCACTAGATTTAAGCTTCAGTGGTAACAGCACAGAACTGTTGTAGCCAGCATTTACTTACTGCTTACTGCATTACAGAAATCCTACCAAGCATCTTTATGTTTTATCTTTTCAGTCTTCAAAACTACCTTATGAGGTAGGTACTCTTGTTATCCTATTTGACACACAAGGAAACTGGCTTGTAAAGATTAAGTACCATGCCTACTGCTACAGGGCTAATCAATGGTGCAGCCAAGTTCATAGACCTCAGGCCCCCATTATGCAATGCTGCCCTTTATTATTATATGCACATACTTTTAAATTTTTATAAATGGCATGTTTCTATAAAATATATATATATATAGACATAAATAGCTTACATACATATATAAATAAGTTAAGAGACATAATGAAAGTATAAAGACCCTAGTTACAATGGAGGAAAGAAGAAAAGTAAGATAAGATTCCTAGGAACAAAATTAACAAAAATTTGCAAGATCTATATGAAGAAATATGTTTCAAGCTCACTGGAGACACAAAAGAAAACTTGGAACAAATGGAAGGTCGTACAATGTTTTTAGATTTTAAAGAACTCAATTTCATAAATGTGCACTCATTTCTAAATTAAGGCAAAAACTTAACATGATCACAATAAAAATGCCAACAAATTTTTAAATTAGAAACACAAGTGCTAAGTTTTATATAGAAAATAA